ATTGTAAGCAGCTTCCCATAACTCTCTGTTTATTTTCTTCGTCAATATAATATCTATCCTTTCAATGCAGCTTTGTCTATGGATCAGCGAAGTCGATTTTATGGTAATTTTCAGTCTATCTCGGTTAGTTAGTTTCTGCATCTCAAAGGCGTGTCGACCCGGGCGCCAAAGCAACCGGGCCATCGTCGTCGCCTGTTGAAGCCGAAAAATACAGTTTTATATTATGTTAGTGGTAATAACCTAATGCTTGTGTTTGATGCTTCAAAATAGTTTGTGATAAGTGAGCATTGTATTTGTTTTTTACCCATCAAACTTATATTTTGCATTAGTTAACTAATTATTTTAATTAGCCATTTCATTCATACATTTATACTCATTGCAAACACACTAATATAGAAATATATAAATTTATAAATTGATATTTCCATGATTATAAAAATATATTAGAAATTATGCTTATAAAAATTATACAAAATGCCATGAACATTTGTTTCTCTCAAAACTCATGGTCTACTTGCTTCCCATACATACAGTAAAGCCAACCAACGGGTTACCAACCCATGTTCCTATGTTGGCAATACTTTGTCTATGTCGATATTATTGCAATTTTCAGACTACCACGGTTATTTAATTTCTGCACCTCAAACACTGGCGTGTCGAGCCGGGCGCCAAAATAACCGGGTCGAAAAGCCGCCTGATACAAGTGCCGAAACAATCAGGACAGTTTTATGTTTGTGGCATTATGTTTCATGTTTGGGCTTGGGTTTTTTATACCTTGGGTGTGTGATAAATGAATATTGCATTTTTTGTAGAGTTTAATCAATACAGTTGCTTTAAGTTTATATGATAAGTAAAAATTTATACCTAAACAAGAACCATATCGCGTTGAAGAATATTTGGTACGTCATCATAAATATTGCAATTATTTCAAATATTGTGAATAATATTTTCTTGTTATTGAATATTTATTATAAAAATTAATTATCAATATTTCAAAAACTTTCGGCCTTCTGACTAATAAACAAATACAAAAAACAATGACCCTCTTGCAACTGCAGTTAGGTAAGTTATAGTAATCGTAAAATTTACATTTTAGTAGTTAAATCGTGCGCACGAAAACTTGAACGAAAAATTGTATCCATTCAAATTTTTCTAAAGAAATCCAAAAATGTGTAGAACATTTTGGAATTGATACAATTTTTCGTTCAAGTTTTTGGGCGCACGGTTTTCCGATTTGAATGATTCAAAAAACATTAATTTTTTATTAGTAGGGAGAAGTGGTGATTAGTTTTTCGCAAATGCAGGTCCAGTCTTTTCGGTAATACGGAGTAAAATGTGCGATAAATTGCAATTTTTGAGAGAAAGAACCGTCCGATTTTAATGATTTAAAAGCCCTTTAGCTTGTATTAACGAAACAATTATTTTGGAGAAGTCAGGCAAAAAAAAAAATATTTCTGAAAATCGAAAATAATTCTGGGTTTAATTTTTTAATTTTAGATAAAATTCTAAAGCTCACTTATATACTTGAGATAAATATCTTTCCAATTCAGTTTATATATAGTTCTTAGAAATATGAGACAAGATCTTTTATTATAACTACCCTTGATTATATTTTATCTATAAAATGTGAATAATGAAAGTTACAGTATTTATAATAATATAATAAGTAATTGCAAATCTCGTAAAAAAACGTTGTTTTTTTAAATGGTGAGTTTTTATTTCGTTTTTTTATCATATATTTATATGAGTTCATCTATTGGCATCATCATAATTTATTATGTTCAGGAGGTTTTGAAACGTAAAAATATGCAAAAAAATTTCATTTTCGATTTTTTGCGATTACTATAACTTGCTCTACGGGAAATTAATTAACAATTTACACTCCGTATCAAATATTCAGCAATTCACAAACTAGTTGCATACAATGTATATAACTTACTGCATGCCATGATGTTAAAATATTCATAGAAATATCTGTAACAAATTTTCGTATCGACATATTAAACTAGCTATTGCACTGAATTAATAATAATACCACAGATTCTAAAACTATCTAAATACCCCGTAATTACTTTTTGCTTGCATTGGACTATTAATAAATAAAAATACCTTTGGATATCATACATCGCCATCCAATACTCTCATCGAATGTTTTTTCCTGGAAAATTCTTGATGTGAAATGCAGGAAAAATTTGATGGGAAAAAACCTGGATGCATTTCTGCTATATTGAAAAATTCCAACAATTCTAGAAACGGAACGATTTATTGAAATGCGATTTTTAAAAACGAATGCAATTTCGCATACCGAGTAGAAGATAAATTTGAGAAATAAAAAATGATCGATTATTTCGGCCTATTTTATTTGACAAACAATTTATAGTTCGTTTTTAAATTAGTTAGATGACGATTTTTACATCGATATTTATATAGTAAGTTGCAATACTAAGGTGTGACATTTCTACAAGACAGAATTTATTTAAATTTAAATTCCGAGTACATACGTAATTGTTTGATTTAAAAATAGCGCTAAAATTAATGATTTGATAATTGCTAAATAATCATAGAGTTCATTTCTGTTGACCCGTTGGACCACGCGACGATTTACAAACATACACACACACATATGTATATATATATAGGTTTTTTAGGAATCCATATGAAAATAAAAAAAATTAATACAAATGTGTCTTTTCCAAAACACCATACGTTTCGAGTCTTGGTTTGACTCATCTTCAGTGCTTATTTGAATGGAAAGAAACATCTACATATTAAAAGTTATAGTTCTTATGAAAATTAGATAGATATTAGATAGATAGATAGATAATATGAAAACTTGTGTTATGATTTTGTGCAACTTTGCAAAATAATTTTGAGTAATTTTACATAAAACTTGTAAAATAATCTTGATGAACTTATATAGGTTGGAAATTCTGAAAAGAATTTTTATTACAAGTGTGTTTTATTCAAAATTTGAAGTATGAATTTTATACTAGTGCTTTTTAACCGATAGTTTTTTTAAATCTATGTCCGAAATGTTGGGTTTAAGCTAAAAACCAAAACACTTACTGTTTTTCATTGTTATTTACTCTTAAGTAAAATGATCTTTGAATATAAAGCCTACTTTTTCTTCAAACAATTTTAATTGTATATACAGAGTATTCCAGAACTCAACGCAAAGTAGGCAGAATTGATTGTACCTATCATTGAAAAAAATTGGGATTTTTTTTTAATGCTATTTGAAAATTATGGACTTCTAAATTGTAAGTACAACCTAGAGTTTCGGTGAAATTGTGACTATTTTTCGGTTATTGTGGTTAATTTTTATTAATTTCATTAATATAAACTTTGAAATCATTACCGTACATAACATTTTCAGTACCATAGTCAAAAATAATGACACAATTGCTCAAAGTTTCTAAAAATATGACTGTTTGTTAAACTTTGAATTTAAAATTTTCAAAATTGTCCTACTTTGAGAAGCCGCCCTCCTGTAAAAAAATGAACTAAAGTGTATTGACAAGTTTTATCAAAAAATTAGCACATTTAATCAGGATTTCAAAATGATACAATACTCGTTAGTTTCATTAAAAAAAAAATAAAAACCTAAAAATAAACCTAAATGCTGTAATTCACGAATATAATGTCATATTATTCGTAATATTTCTAATCGACAATTAACGGCACTAATCAAGATTTAGTCATGGAATTTACACAATTTGACATCATGTAATTATTATGAACGATTCTGAAGCGTAAAACGAGGTTTCATCAAAATCGTGATTTATCGGAAAATAATACGTGTAATTAAACACACTTTGAATATATCAAATGTAAATATATATATATATATATATATGTATATATATATATATACTAGATGACCCAGCAGACTTTGTCCTGTACCAACGTCTACAATTCAAAAGTTCCAAATTTTTAATTGCTTCAATAATTCAGTCTATAATTTTCATAATCTCGTACGATATATTAGTTGCTTTTTATTTTCTAGGCTCATAAATTTCAGCTAAATTTAAATTTGAAGTGAATTGTCATTTCTTGCAGATTCAAATGTTTTGAACGTCAAACAATGATAAGTGGTTTCTTATTATGTTTGTCATTTATTTCTACAATATCACTATAGTTTTAGTTTAGTATAGTTTTAGTTAGTATAGTTTTAATCCGAATAATAGTTTAGGAGAAGTATCAAATCGTACACGCGTACAGTACAGAATTTTATATATAAGATATATTCTTGAAATGTATATTTTTAAGCTAAATAAATAACTATGTATCATGTACGTTTCGACACTGTATGTGTGTCATCAAACAGCATGTTAATTTCCAAAAAAATATTTTACAAAGTGGAAAAAAACTACATGATTACTAGAAGATATGACAAGTAAAAATATCAATGCATGCAATTTTTAGAATTCGATCTTCATCAAGTTATGTGAACCTTTTTCTTTATATATAGCGTGATTTCTCATTCAATATTAAATTTAAACAAAACATTTACAAACAAAAGATTTATTATTACTATTTTATCTCTAATACTTAATTCTTATATAGAATTATATAGTTGTCATAAGTCTTCGAGTTTTTCATGACATATCAATGTTAGTAAATTGAAGTAACCTACATAGCATAATTATTATATGTAAATATCATTAATGCAAACTATAATTAAAATTTCTTCTATAACATAACTGCCAAGTTTTGCCAATGATAAATGTGAAATAACTTCTACCAGTAAAAACATAATAATTATGATAATTAATACACTTCTTGAGAATCATAATATATATTCGATGATAAATGCAAACGTTCCCAAAATAATCTCATTAGATTTATATTTATGTTTATCTCATAGATTTATATTTTGTAGGAGTTTTGTTTGTTGTTTTTTAATTTTTACAATGTAATTTGTTATTAGCATCTATTGATCATATATACATATAATAAGTTATAAATTAAATTATTTCGTTATTTAAAATTAATATCGATTATTTATCCTTTTTGTCTTGTTTATTCTTGTCATCTTCAGGCTGATCTTTAGGTTTCGTAATTTCCTGAAAATGAAAATAATGAAATTTTTTAATCAAATATTAATTGAGAAACAATTCAGAAATTTGTTAGATATTTCAAAATAAATTATTTTAAAAGAAATAACAATCTTATACAATAGAATTTTTTGCTTCCACGACAACTACAATTTTAGACTTTACAAATACTTTGAGAAAATCAGAGACAAAAAATGACAAAAGCATTCTTAAGGGACAGTTTTCAGATAAATTAAAAAAATTAAATGAATGAATGTATATGTGCAGGTAAAATAATAGTAAACTAGTTAGTGATGGTATTTTGCCTTGAGGCAAGATACATGAACTTCCCGATATGTGTAAATAATCGACTTATTCAATAAAATATAAATTAATTTATGAGTGATTAAAAGTATTATGAGTGGATTTATTACATATAATTGAAAACTAACGAACACGTTAACTCGGAGTACTTTCTAAAAGCAAATTTTTCATCAAAAATTTTTATAATTGACTCAGTTTCCGTAAGATTTAATGGTTTAGTATGTTTATTAAGACCAAGTACTATATCGTTATACCAAGTAAATCCACTAATTTTAATTTTAACAAACGTCAAAAATACTACTCATTTTCTTAATCGTTGATGAATTTTTAAAATTAAACTACATGTCGTAAGGCCGTGATATTTCAGTAAGTTCTATAAGACCATGATATATATCGCCAAAAAAATTCCATAAAAATCGGCTTTAATTTTTTTCTCAACAGTTAATTACAAGAAAACGGCTCGGTAGATTTTCACCTAAAACTTATCAGTGTCATTCCCAATCTTTTGAACAGTTTTTGATTTTTCAAAATCGATTCGGTAGTATGAGCTTAAATGTGGACGAAAAATTTAACACTTTTTCCCAGATTACAAAGAAACGGCTAGACCGATCGTCGCTCAAAACTGAGAAACGATAGTCCTCATTGAGATACATCAAAAGGCTTTTAAATGTTTGAAATCGGTTCAGCCGTTTTTGATAAAACATCGATTTACGACAAAAATCGGTTCTCATACACATACTCACACACATACTTTTTCCACGAATCGTTGTTTTTATGAAAATATAAACTCTCCTTCGGGAAGTTGAAAAAGTAAGTAATCATATTTACCCCTTCAATACGTTTCTTCACAAATCTTCTCAAACCATCCCAGGTCAAATTAAGGGCTTTAGTTGGCATAGTACCAGTTGGAGGAGCAAGTAACGTTTCAGGATCATCTCCGACTGAAAAATTATAAAATCCTGAATGTAAAATTACTTCAATATGTAATTTATATATTTTAAATAGAATTTCTTACAATCGTCCAAAGACACGTTGTCAGATTTCTCCGAAATTGAAGTCGAAGACTCAGTCTTCTTCTTTTCAACTTTTGCTTCAGCAAAAGACACTCTTGGTGGTCTTGAAGTACTCGGAGCATCTGTAGGTGGTTTCTTGTCTAATTCTATATTTTGTTTGAATTTTTCTTCAACACTTTTTTCGGGTTTGACTTTATTTTCGTCTGTCATAAATAATTTTGTTTATTACCAGGGTTTGTCGGTTTTCAAAAACCGTTTTTTGGCGAAAATTATGGAATTCGAAAACCGGTTTTTTAGTGAAAAAAGTCGGTTTTCACTGTATAAACGGAAAATGATAAATATATCCAAATAAAGATAGATGGGAGCGTTTTGATCCTTGAAATCATATCAAGCATTCATATTGTACAATAGCATTTTATATCTTATCAGTCTGCAATGGTTCCCAGAAAGGTTTTGTTCATATTAATTTAAATTAGTTTAAATTTATTTAAATACCAAATATTAATTTCAATCAGTGTGACTTCTTCTTGAAGAAGTAACTTCCTCTACTTAAAAAACTTAAAAAAAGAGTTTTGAACCCTAGAAGTCACAAATTAAAGAACAAAAATTTAGAATTACTATATCAGGCTTTAAAAATAATTAAGCATAATTTGGTCGCAAGTATGAGAGTATTTTCTATTTCAGAAAATTTTGTGAATAAACAAAAAAGGACACGTCTAAGTAGCAATTCGATAGACGTTCTCAGTTTTTTCAAATCATATTTTATTAAACAAAAAAACAATTAGAATGTTTAAAATTAATTAATTAAAATTGCTCGGAACAGACAATGCTGGAGTTTAGCATAATTGTTTTTAAAATTAAAATTGATATTAAAAAGTATGTATCAACATATATCAAATATTTTTTAATTTTTTTTAATTCAATGAAAGTTTTTTATTTAAAAATGTATTATTCTTATTTAAAAATGTATTATTTTTATTTATTCGAAAACTTTCTTTTTACTATCATAAAAATATTTTTATTCTCATATGTGAAAATGATGCATGAATAACGAATAATTATTTTCAAAGTTATTTAATCAAGATAAACTATTATTTTTCAGTTCTTCTAATTAAAATTTAAATAATTTTGTTTACTATCCATGAAATTGAACAATAAATAAATTCGGTCAAATACTGCTCTAAATTACACTAAATTTGCGGATAAATTACAGGATATTCGAGCAAAAATTCATTTTCTATATAAAATTCAAAAACCGGTTTTCTGAAATGTCGGTTTTTGTTTAAACCCTAATTATTACCATTACTAAATTGAAAGTAACATAAATATTCTTACCTGGCATTTTGGTTTCCTGAGGCATTTTTGTACTTTTCTCATAATCTTTTTGCAGATTTTTATCTAAGTTTTGAATAAGTTCAGTTTGGATATCAGTGCTTATTCTAGTTTTTAGATCGTCCTGGGTAGTATCAGTTGTTTCAGACACATTTTCGAGATCTGGTTCAAAAATTTTGGGTTCTGGTATATCTTGTAGCCTTTCAGGTATCACAAACTTTCTTGATTTGGTAACTTTTGGCCCTAGAGAATCGACTTCAGGTTGTGGAACATCTTTTGGTTCTGTGGTATCTTTTGGTTCAGATTCATCTTTTGGTTTTGAGACATCTTTTGGTTCTAAATCTTTTGGTACTGAGTCGTCTTTCGGTTCTTCAGATTTTACGACATCTTCTGATTCAACTTTCCTCTCTGGTTTTTCCTCGCCCTCTGGGACTTCAACAGGTTTCAGCCTAATTTCTTTCTTAGTTCCCAAGATTTCTGTAAAATTTTCAAGTGCATCTGAAGATGTTTGCGTAAGCATTGTTATGGAACTTGAAATTTCTGCCATTTTGTCATCAATGGCTTCAGATATCAGTTTATTGACGACTTGTCTGATCTCGTCCATATGTTTGTCTTTTCTTTTGGGTAACTTTTCGATTTTACCGTCCATGGAAAATGTTCTGTCGCGTGTTCTGGAGTATCTAAAAATAAACATATTATTTATATTAAATGTTAAATATGAACAATATAACACTCAGATTTTTAACACACACACAGGCGTTTCGAGACTCTGGTATGCCTCATCTTCAGTGCAATTTCAAAAACAGTTACTTATATTCTACACATTCTTTAATATTTTTATATTTCATTCAATTTTTGATAATACAAAAAACATCAACTATCACTTGTAAATTCTATATTATTTATATATATGAAAACTGATGTATGCATGTATGTCTGTGTGTGTTTAATTGTTATGCTTTCATAAACCATACGTTTAAGAAAATTTGGGAAATTATCAGGAATCTCCGGATAGGTTTTCGGATATTTTGATTGAAGCCAAGTGGTAGTGGTTGGACGCCACGAAAACTATTTTTAATTTTTTTTGTTCAATTTTTAACTTCCCGTAGGGTAGTTATAGTAATGGGCCGAAAATCGAAAATGAAAATTTTTGCATTTCTCGACGTTTTGAAGGTTTCTGAACATTTTACTGGCATACCTCAGAAAAAATGAATGTGTGTGTGTATGTGTGTTTTGTATGTCCGCATTTTTGTCCACGTTTTCGGGCGCACGGATCAACCGATTTGAATGGTTTAAAAAACATTCGATCCCTATTGGTAGGGAGATGTGCTGGTTAGTTTTTGGCAAAGGCAGGTCCAGCCGTCACGGAGATACGGAGCAAAACGTGCAGAAAAAACAAATCGAGTTTTTGAGAGAACGGAGTATCGGATTTGAATGATCTAAAAAGCATTCAATTTGTAATGATTGGTAAAAGAGGTGATTAGTTTTTGGCAAAGACAGGTGCCGCCATTTAGAAGATACAGAGCTAAATGTGCAAAAAATAGCAGTTTTTGAGTGAACAAGGCGTTCGATTTGAATGATTCAAAGAACTTTTTGCATGTTTTAACAAAATAATTGCTTTTGGAAAAAAAAATTTTGTTTATATTTTTTTTTCAACAAATATTTTTGTAATTTTGGATTAAAAATTCAAAAACTTTTTCAATTTTGTGCAAATTAGGCAACTATTTTTTTTTTTTAAATTGAATTTGAAATGAAATGACGATTGTTAATGTTCTGGAGATAAATTGATTTATGATTTACATTTGATTTGCTGAGATATACCAAGATAGCAAAAATAATAAAAGTTACAGTATTTGTAACAATATATTTGAAAACATTTAAAATTTCTCAAATAGTTTATTACGGTACGGGAAGTTCCAGCAATTTGCCTTAAGGCACGATGACATGCACCACTAGTTGTTCAAATTTTTAATAAAAAGTGTGAGCGGGTACAGCTCACAATTATATAACAATCAGTGTTATTGAGAGAACTCTATAAGTTATATGGCTAAATTACACATAATAATAAAAAAATATTAATAAACTCAGAAATAAATAAAAAAAAAGAAAAGTAATATTAAAGAAATAAATAAAAATAAATTACAAATAAAAAAAAAAAAAAAAGAAAACAAATTGTAGTATTTGCTCCAACAAGCAATTGACTATAGAAAACATTTTTTTACATTAAGTCTATTGTTTCTTGTGTAGTTTTCTTATAGGCTTTCTTATAGATTATTAAGCAGATGAGCCATTGCTGCATTTTAAATTGTAAATTTTAGCATGATATCTAGTACTGGTATTTTTGCTGACATCCGCTACAAAATGGATGTTGAGGTCCAGTCATATTGACATATGAATATAATTTACTCTCACCTTTCATATTCCTTTTCGTGAGCATGCCAATCATCAAAAATCAACTCCATATCATCCCTGACCGAAACATCTTCAGAAGACTGACCCACTGCAACGTCCTTATGAAACGTCAAACTTTTCCCAATCCTGTAAGGCACTCTCTCTTCATTGCTCCTAGATTTTATAGACTCCGATTTCTCGTCATCTTCGGGTAAATCCTCATCGAAATATCGAATGAGGGATGGATAGGTGTCCAAATTGGTTGTTTGAATTTCTTGTTCGGAACCGTGGTATCGTATTGGGGCATATTTGGAGGTAGATTCGGTTTCACTTGGTTTGGCGTCGACTTTTTTGGCGCGAGGCGCATACCACCAATAGTGTTTGCTGCTGGATGGCAGTCGAGGGATGGAACATTCTGGGCTTTTTGTTATGGTTGCCTCGGGGAGATTAGGGATTGGCTGTCTTGGCTGGAAGAGATAGATGATGTAATAAATACATAATTAAAAAATAGTAGAAATAAGTAAAGACTTTCTATATTATTGGAAATTCATTTTGCTTTCATTAACTATATCAAAGATAATGAAGTTCTAAGAAGTACAATTTATCTTTTGTGAGTTTCATTATTACTTTTGCTTACATCAGTCATATTATATTTCATTTTTAATTTGGTGTACTTATTTTAAGTATACATAATTGTAACTAGTTGGTTTGGTATTTAGCCTTGAGGCAAGTTACATGAACTTCCCGATATGTGTAATTAATCAACTTAATCAATAAACAATAAATTAATTTATGAGTGATTAAACGTATTCCAGTAAATTTATTATACATAATTGCAAACGAACGAACACTTTGACTCGGAGTATTTTCTAAAAGCAAATCTTCAAAAATCAATAATTTTTATAATTGAAGCAGTTTCCGTAAGACGTTAATGGTTTAGTATATTCATTAAGACCATGTAATTTATCGTTATACCAAGTAAATCATCTAATTTTAATTTTAACAAACGTCAAAAAAAAACTACACATTTTTTTTTTAAATTAAACTACTTGGCGTAAGGCCATAATATTTCTATAAGACCATGATATATATCACCAAAAAAAGTTCCATGAAAATCGGCTTAAATTTTTTTTTTCAACAGTTACAAGAAAACGGCTCGGTAGATGTTCACCTAAAACTAATCAGTACCATTCCCAACTAATATCTTTCGAACAGTTTTTGTTTTTTTTAAATCGATTCGGTAGTATATGCTTAAATGTGGACGAAAGGTTTAACACTTTTTTCCAAATTACAAAGAAACGGCTCGGCAGATCGTCTCACAAAACTGACAAACTATAGTGCTCATTGAGATACATCGATATGGCTTTTAAACATCTGAAATCGGTTCAGGCGTTTTTGAGCAAACGTCGATGAAAGTTCTAATTTTGACAAATGGCAAAAAGACCATACTAATTTTTGCAAACTTTGACGAATTTTAAAAGCTAAACGAGTTGTCGTAGGGATGTAATATTTTAGTATGATCTAGAAGACTATAGTATCTACCGTCAAAAAAATTCATAAAAATCGCCGATTTTTTTTTTTAACACTTTATTACGAGAAAACGGCTCGGCCGATCTCTACCAAAAACTAATCAGCACGATTCCCAACCAATATCTTTTGAACGGTTTTTGAATTTTCAAAATCGATTCAGAATTGCGGGCTAAAACGTGGACGAAAAATTTTTCACTTTTTTGCTATTTACGAAAAAACGGCTCGGCCGATCGCTGCACAAAATTGAAAAACGCCAGTCCCCATCGAGATACATCGAATGGCGTTTAAATTTTTGAAATCGGTCCAGCCATTTTTGAGAAAACGTCGATTTACAGCAAAAAATTTGTTCACACACACACACATACTTTTTCCAAATTTGGTCTCATTCGATTCAGAATGGCTTGAAACGTCGAGAAAACATAAAATTAGCGAATCGAATTTTTTTATGAAAACATAAACTACTCCTTCGAAAAGTTAAAAATTCATCAAAATTTGATAAAAATGAGTCAAAATCTGTGTCAATAGTCGCTTTTGTGATGTGATGAGTCAAAATTTGAATATCACAAATTTAAAAGGCATTTTTTTGGAATCAGCAAAAAAATAAGTAATACAAATTTTGTCTAGTTGTGTAAAGAATATTACCATTAATTTAAATCATTAAATAATATCAAGAACTACGTACATGGTACACGTGAAAATTTCATCTAAATATCTAAATCTCAATTTCAGTTGATTAAGTTAATTAATACACATTTCGAGATGTTCATGCAACTTGCCTAGAGGCAAAATGTCACTGTTAACTAGTTTAATATAAGTTTTTCCAAGATGCTCTTGTGGCTCAAAGCCTTGGCTTGGCTTTACTTGTACTTTGCTCAAATTGTATGAGATTTCTTATATATGACCACATGGTCAATCAATTCATATATAGTATCTATTCTGTCGATTTATGGTTTGCAATTAGCTTAATTAGTTTTGCAAAGCAAAATATGCAAATAAAACAATAGATCATTATATATTAATCAGAATAATGTGCAACACATGGTTCAGTTTTAGCCATAGGTCAGTTTATATGTAGGTAGAGTCTTTAAAGTATTCGGATTCACCTAGACGAAAAAATTTGATATTCAGAATATTTACACACTGATAAGAAACTTATTCAACTTATTTATTCACCAGGTCAACAATAATATTTGACACAGTTTGCACAGATAAGAATTTCACTGTCTGATAAAAGTCTATTGTGTCACCGACAATACGATTTAAATTTAGTAAAACAGTTGGTAGAAATAAAATGTAGATTAAAAAATCTGGGTTGGTTTAATTGTTAAATTGGACGTGAGTATTGAAATACAATCCTGAAATAGAAATACGACTGATCTGACATACGAGTGACCTTTTACGAAAATCAACTAAATTTTATTTCTATTGAGAATGTTAGAAAATGATAATTATTTATTACAAAATGTACCCGTGCACATTTTGCCGTGTTTT